CTCTTCTGCAGAATATACAGTGAGAGGCACTTTAACAAAAAGCCAGGGCTCCTTGCCACACTGAGAAATGAAATGCAGAGCAGTCCAGACTTTACATAATATCTGAAGCCCAAAGAAGCTTCATTTGCCTTTTGGATAGAGACAAAACTGGTGTGGCTTGCATTTCCATAGAAATTCACCCCCTTCCAAACTAATCAAAGAACTGAAATGCCAACTTCCAATTTGGAACATTTTCAAATGTTAGGATGCAGTTCTCTGATTTTCCAACAGATCTATACAATAGTGTTCAATGAAGGCAACGGAGTTAACTTCATCACCCGCAGAAACTAAAAACAAATCAAAACCCTTACTACTTTTGCTCATACCCCCTTTTTTTAATTAAGTAGAAAGTTTCCAGTGTCACTACCAAACACAAAAGGAAAATGAACCAAAGTCCTTTGAACAGACTTTTGGCTCAGTTCATCTGAAATGCTTTTTACTAACAATCGTTAATGAAAAGTTCAGAATTAACAAATGAAAATCCAGTTATTGCCTCCATACTGACTCTGTCTCCTGAAACTTATGACAAGCCATAAATATCTGAGGTTACGCCCAGACTCGTAGAAATTTTCACAACCCATCCATTATTTTAATGCTTCTTTAGATATTAGGATCAAGTGCTTTGTGTGAGAAGCTTTGTGACCTTACAAGGAATAGAATAAATTCTATAAGGGGCAAAGTTATGGAGGCTATTCACCACTAATAAATGAAACAAGGTTTGCTGCTTCCCCGTGTCTGAATATTTCTACGTAGAGTATGCGCATAAATTGAAGACAATACTTTTTGAATGTGGAATGTGATTTTCCAAAGGGCTCAAGGATTTTTTTTTAATCTGTGTAAATCTTCAGCTAAATATTGTCCCTAAAGTATTCCCTTTTGTTCTTTCCAAAACTTAACTGTGTCCAAATACACTGTTTGGATATAGTATTTTTAAATAGCCATTTAGACCCAAGGGCTGTCAGTCTTCTTAAATACTGTTCTTGCTTTGATGAAAAAAGAAGGATAAAGAAAACCGAGAGAATATAATAGTATTCTTTTTCCATAGTACGAAGAGAGAAGGATAATAATTCTCATTCCTGAGAATTTGAGAGGAAGGAATATTATTTTGGCCTTATTCTACGGAGTATGGGTGATGAATTTAGGCAGGGGAATGAAGGTATTGTTCCAATTCTCAATGAAAAAAGCTAAACTGTATGACATAAATTATGAAGTAATGTCATCAACATTATTTGGGTGCATATGACAGTGGGAATCAATAGGATGGAGACAGGCATGTTACACATAAATGCTGATACTATAAGAACCAGAAATATGTTGTAGGAAAATTCTGTGATTTTCTGCTAGGCAACATGAATTAGATTATATGGTAATGACATTAGAAAATACAAGAAAATTTATTTAGTGACCCCCAAAATAAATAAGGGCAGTTGTAGTTTGAGGAAGGGAGGGCGGGAGGAAGAAAGGAAATGAAAAGAAAAGTTTTCACTTCCTCTTCTTCATTTAATTTATAGACAATTGCAATTTTACATGAGAATGAAAGGATACTGTATGATATAGAGAAAAAAAGCTGCAAGGCATATAGTGACAATGAGAACAAATGGTTAACATTAAAGAGAAAAATCAGTCATCTTGATGGAAATTTTAAAAAATGGTTTTTGAAAACGAAGAGAGCTAAACAAGAAGCATTTAGCATGCTGTATGGAATTTAAAATTACAGTGATTAAAATATTTGAGATTAAACAAATGAGGGAAGACTGAAAGGGGTATTTTAAAGATTTATATGTGAATGATAGTGATAGTTTGAAAAGTGAAATTTCTTATCAGGCCTTTAATTTCTGAGGCACAGTATTTCTTACTTCTTTTCTACCATCTGCATAACTCATAAAGGGACAGGATAATAGGAATGTATATATTTATGTGTGTAGTAGTGAAAAGTAAGCCATGTGCAAGGAATTAATTTCTTCATTGAAATAACAGATGTGTATATGTACATCTGTGTGTAAATAATACGTATCTCAAGTTGCCAGGAAAAAACAACACTGTATTATGATCCCTTGTAATCATCCCTGAGATTCATATGGAAGGGCAATCAACTCCCATTTCAAAGTACACAGAAAATAAAAAATATAATATGCATTCTGAATTAAATAGGATAATGTTAGCCACTTAATTTTTCATTTCTTCAGTTCAGTTAATTGGATATTATAGTATCATTTACAGTATTCATACTACAATTAAATCTTTCATTATTGTGTTTATTAATATTCATTTATTATAATAATCAAAGTATTTTATTCAAAGTGCTTTATCTTGATTGCTTTTCAAATATTCTGTTTTCCTTATGGTGTTTGAGTGGGTTGTTGTTTGCCAACAGAGATGCTGAAATTGATTTCTCTTCTTCTAGTCATTTTAGGTAATGGCACACATTCATATAGCTACAGGGATTTAGTTTCATTCCCATTTCTCTAGACCAGCATCCAACTGGCACTGGATGCCTTAGCTATTAAAATTATCATCATCATGAATATAATCAGCCCCCCGTGAGGCCCTACCTTGACATGGTTGTGGGGCTTGCATGCTCTGAAGAAGATGAGAGCTATGTCAGAGGTTCAATGGCCAGGTCACATCAGAGGGCTTAGATGAAAACAATATGGTGAGACATAACTTACAGAAACCTGTTCCAGATCAATCATCACTTGAGTAAACAAGGATCATGCCAGGTACTGGGATTCCTAGACATCTGATGACAAATGGGCTACAGAACTGAAGACTGTTGGCTGAGCAACAGGGCTAAGCAGCTTCAACATTACTAGAAGAAAAGTTGCTCACTCATAGCAAATAAATGAAGATTGAAAACAAAGAAATAATGATTTGCTATTACCAATCAAGTCCAATGAGAAGATGATACCTGAAATGGATGCACCAGTTCTAGAAAAAACATCAGAATCAGAAGTAACACAACAAGGCTAGTAGATCAATGTCACCTATTATACAAAATAAAGTATTCACAGAAGTAGAAGTAGAAGAACTGCAAAGATCCCCTCTCTTTTTGCTGTTATTACAGGTTTTTTTCATTTCAACTTTTCCTCTTTCTCCTCCTCCTTTATTCAAGCTGCATTCTTCATATTTCTTTGGATTGAACTGATGAAAATCACAAAATACAAAGATCTAGAAATAGGAGTAGATTGTGGCAAAAGAAAGCAATGAAAGTACCAGTAGTAACAAGTGCTTTGGGTGCAATTCCAAAACATCTGGAGTACCACTTAAACAGCATCGGCATTGACATAATCGCCATCAGTCAATTGCAAAAAAACCAGCTTTACTTGGAACAACTTACATCCTGCGATGATAGTTTTAACACTATCAAACAACAGCATCTGCCTATCCCAGTTCCTCGGGAAGGGCTTGGATAAAAATGCCAAATCCAATCAAAACATCTGGCTAAATGTGTGACCAACCATAATAATACAATTTCTTGTTCCTGAAGGAAACAACTAATGAGATTTTCTCTGGGTGAACTAAGCACAGCCTAAATCTTCTTAGTGCCAAAGAGCACTGGGGGGAAGGGGTGAATTTTTGAATTTTCTTACTCTGCAGCAACTTTGCTCCCGAGTTAGACATCAGGACATATCATTTAAAAAAAACAAAAACCACCTTTCAGTGACATCTTCCCTTGGTTTTAGCAGGTTTTTACACCTACCCAAGTGGAAACACTGAAATCTTGTTTGAAAAAGCGGATAGAATGGAAATCTGCTTTTGCAGCAACACTGGCAACAACAGTCTCATAGTTGAATATCCATTACATACCCAAGCCTGCGCTCCCATTTTCTGTTATCTGGCCAGAATCCAGAAATTATCCCCTGCCAGTTTTCTTAAACTCTGCTTAAGAAGTTGGGAGGGAAACGAGGCCATTCAATCCCATTCAGCTTGAGGACCATAAACTCGCTTTCTCTTCCTCATAGGAACACGAGGCATCTTGTTTTTTTCAGCACCCGTTGCTCATTCTGAGAACTCAGGTGACAGACTTCACGAGACATCTTGGCTTTACTTTCTGAGACTCATTCTACAGTACTCATCACTTTGGCACTCTATAAACATTCGACTCATGCCATCTGTTCCTCAGGCAGAAGCCTATGATCTTCATGCTCTCCAGAAAACACATCTGTTCCCACCATTCCTTTTCCTGCACTGGCTCCCAGACATGCTGCCCCCGTTGGAGCCTCTACTATAGATTGAGAACAGTGGCAGGAGCAATCATGACTTAGCAAGTGATAAAAGAAAAGCAAATAAAATGTGGTTGTTGAGCTTTGCTTACTGGGCTCAGTTAATATTGACCTTTGGCGATACAAACCATGTTGGGGGCAGTAGTTCTTTGGATTCTTTTACAGAAGAAACAAAGAGTAAATGAAATAAATCCAAAAGGATTCTTCTAGATGCAGAGCTCAAAGCAATGAACTCTCCCACAAAAGTATGCTTGCATGTGTTATGGCTATTTGCATTTGCATTTGCATATTTCTGTCCATTTGATTTCTGTCTGCTAAGAGGAAGTTTACAAAGAGGGCTAAAAATGCCTTTGGTGGATCTCTTTTGTGAATATTATTTAGGAAAAAGAGAGCAGGGCCCTCTTAATTCTAGCCAATCTATTATAAACCCGTTTTTAAGAACCTGTGCTGTGCTATGACAAGGAAGCATGTTTCATGTTTTGCTGCAGTTTTTCTGTATAATCCAGAGGAAGCAGCTCTCTTGTATCAAGTACAGATGGTTAAAAAAAATGTAAATCGGTGTAACCTTGTGCAATTGAGAAGACACAGAAGGCCTGTTACCATACAACATAAGTAAAGGCAAAAAAAAAAACACACCCAACCACTTGCTTGCATGGAGCTGGTATCTATTTAGATGGTGTACTAGGGTGTTTGTGCCCGAAACCTAAGCGACATGTGATGGCAGTCTGTATCACCTACCGTCCATGCTGTCTTCACGGTGTATATTGAAGTTTTCATAGGAATCCCTGCGGATGAGCGGATCTGATGTGTTGTAGTCCACTGAGACGCTTGGGCCATTCTCTAAATGTTCCATGCCTGAGAAGCAAGGATAGCATAATTTCAGGATCAGAGATTTCGCTGTGGGGACGGTGAGGAAAAAAGGAGTAACATGATAAAGCAAAGAAGAGAAATCAGAAGAAATAAGTTCAAAGGGTAGTGAGTTTAATCTATCATAGATACACCTCAGTATGAGAAAGTCAGGACATGAAGCTGGATTGCCCAGTTAAGCTGTTGAAGCAAGGAGAGATGGTATCTAGAATTGAGGCAATAGCCAAAAAACTTGCCCAGCAGTAAGAAAGTATGTTGATCAGGGAACAATTACACACAAAAGGACCTCTCTGTTTACTATAAGAACTGTAGCTATTCAGGAATTTAATGAATGGAATTTTAGTTCACCAGGCAAAGAGAAATGGCCATCTATTTGTGAGGACTTGCAGCCCCTGGTAACTCAGCAATTATCTGCTAATATTGATTCTACTGTGGCTTTTGAATCTTTCGGTACTGATACAAGGGAAAATAATTACATCAGGCCACTTATCTGGCAGCAAGTTTAACAAAGCAAAAGTACAATTTCTGAGGCCTATAAATGGAGAGGGGGGGAAAAGGAAACAAATGGTGACTATTACAAAAAAAGTAAATACCTTGAATCTTCTCGGGACCGTAGGAGAATACAAATTCCACCTTCCCATACTCAGGAAATCGCTCATCTGATTTTTTTTTTTTTAAAAAAGAAAAGACACAATGGCATTCAGTAGGCGTGTTCTTTGAACAGATGAGTGGCCTGTGCATAGACCGAAACATACAAGACCACTGGTGGTACAATCAGTGTTTAAGCAGAGGTAAGAAAGAAGATACTGAGAAGACCAGATGAAGTCTGATCAGCTGGCGATTCTAAGTCTGAATTCAGTTACAGTTGTAGGAAGGTAAGGCTCTGAGCAGATCAGGTAATGGCTGGCACACAGGATATTTGGAGAAGAGTACATCAGTTTTTGCCCTAAATCATTCATACGTCTCCTCTATCCAAAATCCAGGACACCAAAATAGTAATAGAAATAGCACTTAGACTTACATACAACTTCACAGAGCTTTACAGCCCTCTCTAAGTGGTTTACAGAGTCAGTATATTGCCCCCAACAATCTAGGTCCTCATTTTATCCACTTATGGCTGGAAGGCTGAGTCAACCTTGAGCCTGGTGAGATTTGAACTGCCAAATTGCAGGCAGCCATCAGTCAGCAGAAGTAGCCTGCAATACTGCCCTCTAACCACTGCACCACTGTGACTCTTAGCACTCCAGGTTTCCATTTGGCTGGATCACATCTTGCCCAAACCAGTCTCTCAAATTTCCAAACCACCATGCATTTGTTTTGTGCATGAAGCAAGACAAATACCCTCCTTCACCCTTCTAAATGTAAATTTATAAATATATTCAGGCTGATAATTGTATAGTGGTAATGGCCCAGTCTGCAGGGCTTGTTGCACTTCATAAGAGATATTGCAGAATGGGAAAAGAAAATTCTCTGTTTCCTGACAGGAAAATTGACTTCAGGGTTCTCATACTGAAAATATTATAGCCCTCTCTTTGGCTATTCCTTTGGTGAGGATTTCAGAATTTCAGTGTTTTGTCTGCCTCTATGTTCCATTACAAGATGGCTCATCCTCAGTCAGTACTGGTGGAGCCAACCCAATTCCAGCTCTAAAAATGTTTTTTGCACCTGGTCTCAGCCCTTTCTCTGTTCCTGAGAGGAGGCAAACCCCCTCCCCCCATTTATCTTGCTTCATGGGCAAAATGAAAAATAAATTCATTTGGGGATCTTATTCTCTTCAAGCATGCACAAGGATTGTTAACAAGGCCCAGGAGCCCGTCCCCCCTCCTTTCTAGTGGAGTCAAGAATTTCCTTTTGGATAGCATTGCCCCTGGGATGGCCGACAGTCATACGCTCATTATTTCCTCAAGCACTAATTTTTGTCCACTACTGGCAGAACAATTAGAGTAGGATCTGCTGTCTGATATTTCAGTGCTCCATAAAAACTGGAGGGGAAAAAAAAGCTCCTAGACTGTTTTTGCAGACTTCTAGACAGATACATACACTATAAAAATGACCAACTAAAATCTCATTCAGCAAACAAAAAGAAGATAGAGGTGGTAAAATAAAGAGGGGGGGGAAATCATAGACCTAAATACCAACTTTGGTATGTTTCATATATGATCTAATTTAACATAATCAAAAAGCACATTGAGTATCTGAGGATGATAACATAAAACAATGGAATGCCATGTGATGGTTACAATTACAGTGTATATAATTCTGCACTTCTCACAAGTGCTTGTTAAATAAAGTGAAATGCCTTCTAAACTGAAAATATACTAAAAAATACTGATTTTTCTTCCCAGGCACACACCCTGGTATCATAGAGTGAACCGTTCTAGAAAAGCCACAACTTGGTTACAATGGCCTCCTCAATGTCATGCATTTTATTACTATGTGTCACCTACTCACTCTCTTTTCTTGAACAACATTGCCTTTACCTTTAAAGGCATCATCCAGGTCCTCTTTATTGAAGACAATAGCCAGATCATGAATGGCACAGGTATGGAACTGCACCCGGAAGATTACATCCCGCGTCGGGCTACGGAATTCCTTGTGATAGCATTTCAGCTGTCAGTGAAAGAGGACATAAAGGAAACAAAATGAAATATGTCATCACCTGGGAACCTACCTGAGCATTGGAATGATTCTAGCTACTTGAAGGAATTCTATACTTGAGTCCTTTGGTGCTGCAAAGACATCATTTCTCTGCATTTCCCCATAAAGACAATGAACTCTCCTTAAGTATGTGGAATGCAGACGACAGGTTGTGACACTCTTAAGCCTCCTATTCTGGAGTCTTTAAATGGGGTGCCAACTTTTACGATCTAAAGACCCAGAGTGATAAAAATGAAAAACATATAAGTTTTGACTCTTACCAAAATATCTCCCTTTAAGAGGAGTCCTGGTTCTATGGTGATACAGATGCTCGTCTGGCTGTCTCCCTGCACATTGCTATAAAGAAGTAGAAAGAAGCAAAATGTAGAAGACAATCAAAGCAACTCAATAGCTAAGATTCATTTCATTTGCCATGTCCAGGCAACAGTCAAGATGGTGTCGTAAAATGTCAGACCAAGACTGGGAAAACTCAGGTTTCAAGTCCATCACTTTTCTTCAGCCCAACTTATCTCACAGGGTTGTTTGGGGTGGAATATATGGGAGAAACAACTGCTATATACAACTCCTTGAACTTCTTGAGAATTTTTTCTTAAAAGAAGGAAGCACTCTGCCATTTTAGCATTTCTATTTTTGCTTTGTACTACATTTGCTAAATCATGTTTACTAATCCTGAAACACTGCTTAGATCTGTTGTGATCAGCATTAGAAACTGATCCACTAGTTGTTATCCATAGCAATAGGTTAATGTTCCACAAAATATGACTTTCCAGGAATGACCTTATCAACTGTTGTTGCATCTATTCTTCATGCAATCTGCTCCAGAATATATGGTGAGCAGCTGGTATATCTGGACCTAGTCAGCATTTCCACTTCTAAGTTTTCTGTTATGCACATGAATACCTCAAAAGCAAGAATTTACTTATATATATGTGGACAAAGGTTTGCCACAATCTTCATTTCATCTAATATCTTGCTGTTCTTTCATTGTCCCAGAGTTTCACTCAGCAAATTCATTGAATTAATTCAATTTTAGTTGGTCAATATCAGCCAAGGTAAGTTGTGATTGACGCCATTATGATTTAATGGTACCATTTGCTGATTTGAATGGAAGGGAAAGCAATAAAGATGATGCCCTATTTCACATTTTTTTTCTTCAATAAAGGTTTCATGGAGATTGACTTCATGTATACATCAAACTGATTAATAAATGGTTGGTTTAAATTCAAGTAGATAGAAGAGGAAAATAAACTTTAATCAGTGAAGTTATTTCTCTCTGGATAACTGTGAGCCAATAATGCTTTTCTAACCCAATCTACCTCAGAATTTAAACAATAAAATAAAGGCTAATTTTGTGTAACTATCTGTAATTCTTTAGGGGAAAGGCAATATATAAGCAAAAGTGCATAAATAAAATTAAGCTAAAAGCTATGAAGAGAAGAGTGGGAAAGGATGATATAGAGCTGCTAAGTCTCCTGAGGTTCTTTATATGCTTGGTTTTAGTTGTAATAATCATAAATAAATGCAGCCCCCGGGGAACAGCATGAGTCTTTGTCTCTACTCTAGATCAGTGGTGGCTAGCCTCTTTGGGTTCCTGTGTCAAAAATTGTGTGCATGCTTGCACGCTCATGCTCACGTGCTAGCACCCAGAAGGCAATGCATGTGCCCGCAACACCCCCTACGCATGCATGTGCAATCCCCACCTGCCCACACCGCCCCCTTACCTGCACTGCGCCTCACAGCTGATTTTCAGCTTTTTCGGCCTCCCAGAGGCTTGAGGAAGGCTTCTGCAGGATTTTCATGCCGAAAACTAGGCCCGTTTCGTCACTTCGGGTATTTTTGGAAAAACAGGAAGTGACAAAACAGGACTAGTTTTTGGCCTGAAAAGCTTGCAGAAGCCTTCCTCAAGCCTCTGGGAGTCCGAAAAAGGCCTCAAACCCACTGAAAATCAGCTGTGAGGTGCACACATGCACAGTGAGGTAAGTTTGCCTGCAGCTCGTGTGCCGGCACAAATGGCTCTGCATTGCCACCTCCATGCCACACATGCCATAGGTTCGCCATCAGGGCTCTAGATCAAAATTCAGAATAAATAACACACGGAACTAGGTCTGCAGGATACCACTTCTACTGCAAAGCTCACGGAATGTTCTACTCTGCTTTGCATCAGGACAAAACAGAAATGCAGGAAATCAAAATAATAATGCCAACTCCATTTACTAGATTCCTGATGTGTAGACCGGTTGCATTGCCTGGTATATCTTGAGGAAGGGCCGGCAGCCTAGGAAACATAAAACAGACCAAGAAAAAGGTTTCTTCATTACAGATTAGTTACAGAGAAGGCAACATGAAGGGGCCAAGGCAAACAGTCTCACTGGAGGATAATGGCAATACCCTCCATGTTACAAACAACACTAGGTTTATGTCAGTGGTAGAAGTTGTGGAAAGCAGTAAGGCATGGTCAAGCAGCAGGTTTATACTTTATTTGGAGGCACATCTTAACCACAGTGTTTAGACACATGCTGGCTGGGCAATTCTGGAAGTCCACACATCTTCAAATTGCTAACATTGGCTTAATGCTTTCTCTGCTCAAATCTGACATAGGACTCTGTTAAGTCTGTTAAGGCAAAGCTCAGGAAGCAGAAAATTAAATAAACTAAAATAGCTTTCAGTTTGTGAATTATATGCCCAACATCCAGACCAGCCAAGATCAAGTTACGGAAAGACAGATATTTTGATGAATCTAACCATGTACCTTTAGATTGCTGAAAGCTTATCCTACTCGTTAGGATACAAATCACTCTATAACTGCATTATGAGGATGTTAGCCAGGGTAGCTCTATTTTTTGCTCTCCTCAAACATCCTGATTAGGAATATAAGAGCCTGACTTCAGATTGAATAAATTGTAAACATGGTGTCTTTTAACACAGACAATAAAACAGATTTTACATCTCTCTGCTCATCCCTTCTTGGGTTTATTTACTCATACAGTTAAGTCTTTATAGCAACTAAGGCTGAAGGCAGTCTGTGGAATAGGAAGGGGAAGCAGAATGCAGAAATAATAGAAGAGGCTTCACCATTTTCAGCTATAAATGTGGAGTTCTGCCCCCAGGAAAGATGAAGTCCCTTTAAACACAACCCTAGAACATCAGTGGGAGCAATCCCATTTCCCATCTGGCTTTCTATTTCTATAGAGAATGTACCATAGGAGATCATTAAAGAACAGCTTTCTCCCACTGACCCTTGAAAATGGTGTAGTCCTTCTGTCACTTCAGCATGCTTACAACCTTGTTCCTTTAGAACCATTCTGGCCATAAAGGTAGTCAGTAAAGAAAAGGAAGTTGTAAGGACCCGTATGGTATCCTGCCACCCAGGGGAGACCTATAATTGAATGCTATCCATAATGTGTGATGGAAAGATCAGTTACCTCCTTTAGATTCAAAGTTGGGTATTCCATGCATGATGACGTGATGCAAGAAGAGGGGCTTGTTGTTCATTTTGATGGTGCCAGACAGCAGACCACTGAAGTAATTGACATATCTAGAGTAGAAACCAAAATAGTAGCAAGGAATTTAGATAGAGTATCTTGGAATATTTATATTTCAGTGAGTCACTAGAGTTGAAGTCTAAAACTTCTGTGTGGGAGTTTTTCAAATATTTAGATGATAGATAGATAGATAGATAGATAGATAGATAGATAGATAGATAGATAGATAGATAGATAGATAGA